AATTTGATTCTGGTTTTTGCAACTTTGTAAAGTTTTTAATGTTGTTTCTGAATATGTCATTTTTGTTTTCTAAAAATAATTTGAGTGCGGAGAGGGATCTGTTTGTTTCATCATCGGCCTAGCATCATGAACCGAATTGTCTCAATCTTAGTAAAGGAACGTAGTATATCTTTATATTACCGACGTCAGTATAATTGAAGTTAATCTCTTCTCAAAGGTCACTGATGGACGGTGTACCCGGGGGGTAGCTTATCCGAGGGGTTACTGCGAGAATAACCTAGAGAGAAGTCAGAGCAAACAAGTAGGAGAGAGAGTCGATTGTATTAAATGAAATATGCGTGTTTTACAAGGAGAACAAGGGCTGCTATTTATAGCAGCAATAAATGCGATGAGAGTACACGTGTCAGTAATCTAACGGCCGAGGGGTCACCTCAATCGGGTGGCACTGGCATTCGCATGTGCTCCGCATTAAATGCGGTGGTTGGTTGTCTCCAAAGGGAATCTTCGATGATTGAACTGTTGGCCGAAGGCTCTCTCCGCGGCCGAGGGCTTTGTGTAGCCGAAGGCACGAAAGTGCCGAAGGCTTCCCTGTCGCCGAAGGCATGAGAGTGCCGAAGGCTCCTGATTTCTGCCATTTTCTCCCAGTAGCTTAGTGCGCTTAATCAGGCTGCCCTGTGTAATTTGGAGCCCTCGACCAAGGAGACCAAAGGCACCCCTATGTGTATCGTGGGCTTCTTGACACTTGGGCCGCTGTATTTGGGCCCTGGGCGTGTATTGGGCTCATTGGACCTATGCAGGAGAAGTAGGAGTCTGTGGGCCGAGGGTCCCTGGGCCATATACTCTATCAGTCACCATTGTTGAGTTGCGGTTGTTAACAGATCCAATTACTAGTCCATCAAACTGATTGTATTTTTTTAATATTAATGCCTAATAATCCACTTAAACTATAAGAGAATATCAAATTATCAATGCTAATCATTTCAATGCATATTGATGGCATCAAGACATATACCCATCATTAAACAATATTGCCACCTTGACTGGAGTAAAAAGCCACCTCGATACATTCTCGTGAATCGAAAAATGACAGGAACATATATTTTGGGAATGGTTTTTGCTTGTTTTTTAGATATTACGTTTGATTATGTCAATGTGTTTATGAGACTTTCTATTAATTTCATTTAGCCACTTGTCGTTTGTCAAGCTAGTCCGTATACCATACAATCAGCCCACTATGAGCATGCTACACCCGCGCCGCCCAATACGACATCGTTGACCATTAATTAAAAAAACGCGGAAAGCAAAAAACGGCACCCTCCAAACCGGCGCGTCTTTTCTCCCAAGAGCAGTTATACGCTTCACTCCTCCCAATAGCGTCTTTTGAAATTCGGATTTACATTTCTCGAGAAACTTTTTCACTTCACTCTTCCATCAGCTTTCATCAGATGAAGTACATTCCGCCAGACGGAAGAGTAAGGAAGAAAAAGCATTCCGCAGACGGAAAAGTAAGGAATCCTAACGAAGAAGAACGTTTTGCAGATCGAGACAATGACAAGGTATTTCATTGCGAGGTATTTCATCCGAGGTATTTCAAATTGCGAGGTATTTCATCCGAACAAATTATGTGCTTTGCTTTTTCAAGTTCAAAATTTATGTCTGAGCATGTAACAATATGATTCATGTGCCAGTCTACTATAAATTTCAACATGCATGTTAGTTACACTAAAAAACGAAAGAGATTGAGTATTCAATAGTGTGATTTATGCCTTATTACGATGTCAATTTGAAGAAGCAAAGTGTGTATGCTCATATCTAACTTCAATTGTTGTTAAAAATATGTAACTGTAGTTTTTGGTAAGATTCCTGAGTTTCAATGCTTAAAACCTTATATAAGTACTGTAATTATGGAACAAAGTGCTCAATTTTTGTGCTAAAATGATATAAATACTGCTAGGAATTAAATAAAGTTGACATGTTAACATGCAAAAACAATTGTTGTACAAAATGCTCTGTATGGTTGATGTGATTACTAATGTAACTACTGTTATTGATTATGGAAATTGTCTATGTTAAGATGTAACTGCAATTTTTGGTAAGATTCCTGAATTTCAATGCTTAAACCCTTATTATATAAGTACTGGAATTGTGAAACAAAATTCTCAATTTCTGTGCTAAAATGATGTAAATATTGCTAGGAATTAAATAAAGTTTGCATGTTAAGATGTAAAAACAATTGTTGTACAAAATGCTCTGTATGGTTGATGTGATTACTGATGTAACTACTGTTACTGATTATGGAAATTGTGTATGATAAGTTGTAACTGCAGTTTTTGGTAAGATTCCTGAGTTTCAATGCTTAAAACCTTATATAAGTACTGCATCATATACAAATTAATTATAATTATATTATATATTACAGCAGTACTGACAGGGCTATCTATGATGATAGTATTCCACCAATAGAACAACCACCACCTATACAGATGATTATAGAAGAAAATCCAACAACAAGTGCACACAATATGCGAAAAAGGAAGACTTGTGCTATACAAGAACAAGAACAAGAAATACAAGAAGAGTCTGGAAGGGAAATGGTGGAGAACAATTCTGCTGTTGTTGGTTGTTCAGTAAATTTGAGGACTGGAGTTGGACCTGCTCCATTTGTAAAACTCATCAAAGGATTGAGTGAAAAGTAGAAGACAACTGTTCGGAAAATTGGCTTTGGAGCTTTGCTACACCTCAGCTTTGATAAGTTCCATGGGGATATTGTTCAGTTTCTACTGCAAAACCTGAGACCAATATCTGGACAACTCAAGCTTACAAGTGGAGAGTTGTTAGATATTGAAGAAGAAGATGTTAAAGCAGTGTTTGGTTTGCCAAAAGGAGATAAAGATGTTATGGAAGCAAATGGATCGGAAAGAATGAAACCGAAGAATACACCGAGTTGCTAAAGGAATGGAGAGCAGAGTGGGGAATTGAGAAAGGAAGCTCACAGACAACATCAATGATACAAAAAATCATTGAGGATGATGATGATGGTGGAGATAAGTTCATCAGAGATTTGTTGTCTTCACAGTCTCTTGTTTGATAAGAGGCAACTAGAGTGTGAGGAGCAACTTCAAGATCTTGCTTTCTTTAGTTAATGTTGGTGAAATAACAAATCTGAACTGGTGTAAATACACAAGACAGTCACTAATGGATGCTGGAGAAGAATGGCAGGCTTATCCATCAAAAATGTTTTCTGGACCTTTGTTTTTTCTTATGATCTGTTACTTGGATAGGGTGCAATTCAAAGGACAGGTTTTGGAAAATGTTTTTCCAACAATAAAATTCTGGACGAAAGAGAGAATTGATAAAAGAGTGAAAGATGAGAGGAAGTTGGGATTTGGACTTGGCAAGGTGAAGCCCAGAATCATGCCTGTACAAGAAGAAATTGAAGAGAAAGCAGATGAGCTGTTGGCAAAGGAAGTAAGTTTTAATAATCATTTACATTAAGTAATTGAAGTGTTTAGATTTCTGAATTTTACATGATGTAATTTTTGCTCAAACACATGTAACGCGTGTTGTTTAGAATGTAATGTTAATTAGTATAGGATATAAACTGTTGTTCACTAAGTCACATGATTTTAACTGTTTAGTACCACATGTAACTCTTGTTTAGAAAACGGAAAACTAATGTGTTGTCATATGTAAAGTTTTGAATGATATGACAATTTCTAATTTAGTTTAATTTTTATAGGATTGTGTTAAGGAGATTGTGGCAGTTGCATAGAAGTTTAGTGATGCCTTTGTGGAATTCTCAAAGTTGTCGTCAACCATTGCAAAAAAGTTCCCCAATTCTGATATCTTGAAGAAGATATACTTGACCACAACTGGTTACTTCATCAATCAAGAAAATGGAAATCAAGCAAATGGAAGTCAACGATTATCAGAGAAGTATGTCCTCGAGGAAGATGATGACTTCTTTAATGAGCCTGGAGTTATGGAAGCCCTTGAGAAACTAGAGAAAGCAGCATTCATTTGACTTAGGAATTGAGTTAAACATGGCACATGGTGAAGGCACATCAAAAGTGGATGTAGAAGCTGGGATGACTGAAAATGTTGCTGATGTGGAAGATGTGATGACTGAAACTGTTGCTGGAGTGGAAGATGTGATGACTGACACCGTTGTTGGGATGACTGAAACTGTTGATGTTGATGGAGAAGTGAATGGTGAGGTTGAAGTGGTTGGAGTGGATCAAATAGCTGCTGAGGAAGAAGTGACTAGAGAGGTTGAGATGTCTGGAGTGGACAAGACTGATGATGATGGAGAAGCAAACAATGAAATTCATAATAAGCAAGGGTAAGTTTCATTTGTTTCTTATGTAATTCATTAATACTTCTAACTAATAAAATAAACTTAACATTATATTGTTTTTTCCAAAGGAATGTTGGGCTAAAGCCATATACAAGAAAGAGAAAGCTTTGAAAGTTAGGTGATTCAATTGTGAATTACAGATCACCTTTTCTGAAGAACAATAGAAGGCTATGCAAGGAAATTAGCAGAGATAAAAAGATTGTTCTTGATTATGGATTCTCCAAAGAAGTTGAAAAGTAAGAAAATGTAATATTATATAATGTATTATTTCAATAGAAATGCCATTTGATAATTAACTGTTTCAATTTGAATGAAAAATATTATTCTATTAGAGACTGTGTCTATCTAGATGAAGAATGTGTGTTTATAACTCATGAGGAAATTCAGACACTTCAAGAAGGAAATGTAGGCAACTCAATAATTGATGCATTCACTAAGATTCTGAATGACAGAGAAGAATCAAATAAGTCTACAAAGCGTGCCTTCATTGCGTCAATCCAAGTATATGTATGTATAGTTTTTTTCTTGTAAAATTGTAAAATAAAGTAGAGAACTTTAGTTGCTATATTTTGTTAAGATTGACTCAATTTGAATGTGCAGGCAATGTTTGATTTTGCATCTGGTGACAAAATAGAAAATGTGGTTGACAGATTGCAAATATAAATTCCATAAAACCAAATGCAACTCAGCGTGTTACAAATGTAATAACCAATAATAAGATATGTAAACTCTTCATCTTTTACAACTAAAAAGAAAAAGAAAAAAGAAATGCCAAGCATGTGTTGTTGATTGCATGAAGTATGGAGCAAAAACTTGTGGAGATCCAACTACATGCATTAAAGAGATCATTCCTCCAACTGGATGAGCAAGATAACCTTGTGGAACCATAAAATTAACCGTGTCCTAGAATTAAATAATACAAAAAGTATTGATCAGAAAAGATGCATTAAATATATTACAAAAATAAAAATTTAACAAATACCTGAACAACAGATTGAGCAACTGTTTTTGAATTGGAGGCAACATTTTGGGACTTGGAACGACGAGCTTTGACTATTTTGCACTGTTTTTCAACAGTACTTCTCTTTCGGGTATTTCGCTGACCTGTAGGACGAGAGCGTGGAGGATCCAATATTGTCCTTGAAGAAGATTCATCTACAACAGAAGCATTTGTTAGTACATCTAAAAAATGTTTAATAGACTCATATCCTTGCTCACATACTCGCCTAGCTTCAGGAAAAGCAGCACTTACACCCAAAATTGTGTTGAATTTTCTAGTCATTTGCACCCTCCAAACAGAATCTTCCAATATTTTCCCAGACATGATATCGATTCCTTGCGTGACAGAAAGATTAACATTTGGCAGAATGGTAGCCTTTGTCCATCTAGAGAGTATATAAACTTGGGGAATACATTTGACACAATGGACATTATATATACGCAAAATGTGTCTACACAAAATGCCAACTTCAGAAAACATCTTACAAGTGCATGTCACTGTGTTGTCATTTTGATTAAAAGTATCGCTGTGTCTGATCAAATCTACCTCATTCAACCAAACATGATACACATAATCATGACAATTCTGTGAGATTAATTTAAAAAAATGTGACATACCCTTCAAGTATTGTTCTTGAAACAATTTGAAAATCTCAAGGGTATACACATCTCTAGCATGAGACAACAAAGTGTCTTGTAGCAATACCATCTCAACGGTGCCTTCAGGACATCTAAAATCAAGACCATTATCCTCCAACCTTCATTCATCAACAACATCACAAAACATTTTGTAAAAATCACATAATGTTGTGGTCTTTGTAAGTCTTCTAGATATGGATCTATTTGTAGACTCACTTCTTTGGGAGGATAGAACACCTCCGGAGAAGTAATCCTTTGAAAAAATAGGACACCACTTTTCTTTGACTGTACAACCTCTTCAACCATGTGTTGTCACTGCATTCATAAACTCTATTCAACCTGAAACAGATTTAAAAAGAAGACAATATTACATATAAAAACCAAAGTGTTACATTAAATAATTTATCAGTTACATCCAATAATTAAGAAGTTACAGAAAAGACAAACAACTTACTCATTCCAGTAAAAATCAAACTCTGCAACATTATCACATCGTTTGACAACATAATCGAACAGAGGAACAAAGTTTATCTTCTTGCGTAAATGCATAATGTGTTTCTTTGAATTCTCATTATGCCAAGTGCAGAGTCTATGTCTTGCCCCAGGAAACACAGATTGATAGCCGCTGCCATGGAAAATGACTGGTCTCACATGAAACTGATGGGGTGTTTACCACCCATAGATTTCAGAAAAGTCTGAAATAACCAAACAAAAGACTCCACCTTTTCATTCAACATAAAGCCACAACCAAACATTATATTTTTACAGTGGTGATTCATACCAATAAACGGACCACAGATCATATCATACTTGTTAGTCCTATAAGTTGTATCATGCACAACTAGATCTCCAAACCTTTCATGATAAGATCTCATTTGACCATCTCTCCAGAAAAAAGAACTCAGTAAACCATCATCCAGCTCAAAATCAAAGAAAAAAATCAGATTCCACTTCAGCCCTTTTCTTCAATATACCAATCAAAGTATTCGAATCAGTGCCATCAAACGTTTTACTTCTTTCAGATTCTAGAACATTATAAGCATCACGTTTCGTGAATCCAAGAGCACTAACACCACCAGCTTGTTTTTGAAGCATCCTGTGAACATCTGAAACCTTTGTCTCACTCCCCTTCATCAACATAATAAACTCAAGATACTCACGATCAACACCTCTATGTGATTTCAGCAGGTGTCTTTGACCAATTGGACAAAAAGCATGGTTGTGATCAATAATATGCTTTGAAACAGTCCATTCACCATCAATACTAATAGAAAACTGTAACTTCACTTTACAACCAGTACGATAATCTAACTTGGTATACATTTTGTTTTCAGTGCCCTTTTGTAGTTTCTTCCCTTCTTTCCAACAATAGTAAGCCTTCATAGTCAAACTTACATTGCCACTCATAAACCTCTGTCTATATCTACGAATACCAAATCCATTTTCAAAAGCATGATCATTGTAAAGTTTATAAGCATCCTATTCACACTTAACACTAAGCCCAACAAGTGATTTACTCTCAGTTGACTGGTGAACAATTTCCAATGAATCTGACAATTTACAAAGCATATATATGAAAAACAATCAACAACTACATACATTGGAACTATGTTACATTTAATTAAACATATGTTATATATCATGTAAGATAAGTTACAACAACTGAGACAAGAGTTAAATACTATTGAACGGGTTTACAACCAAAATGAAATGAAGTTACATGACAGAATAAGTACCTCTGTTAAGAAGATATAACAATTTAGAAACTTTAGAAATAGTATCTTCTTCTCCTAAACAAAAAATCAGAGAACAAAACATTTTAGACAATACAACTATCAATACTCATACAATTCAAATTCTAAAGCAATGGCATAAAACAGAAAACATAACCTATTACACAATATTGCACGCACAAATAAACGAATGTAATACAACATGAAAAACTTATACTTACCGATCAATTCAACATCAAGTAGATGATCATCTTCAAAATCATTGTCACCAATTGAATGTACGATGTTATCGTGTATATCAGAAGCGAAACTATTTCACAATACAATCGAAGAATCAACAAGAGCAGAATCATCGACTGAAAAATCCATCGAAGAAGCTTAGAAACGTATCGAGGTTATGGAAGAGCAATTGAGCAAAGAGAGAAATCCGTTAATGTGAGCTGCGGAAATCTGAAGTCGGTTAAGCGCAAGTCCCAACCTAATTTTTTTAAACTTGAAACGACGACGTTTTACGGCCGGTATACCATGGGCACGGTATACCGGTCGTACGGTATAATTTGCGTTGTCAAGCACAGTTGAAAATAACATAAGACGAAGATTATCCTATAATTCCCTAATTATTCATGTGCCAATAGGGTTGTTCCTTAGTTTGATCTAGGCTTGGACTCGGGCCGGGCCAAGGCCCGGTCGAGCTTTATGAGTTTGGAGGTAGGCCCAGAACCAGCCCGGGTATCCACCGGTGCCGGGTAGGGCCCGAGCCAGGTCTGGTTCAATTTTTTTTGGGTTTTCTTGGTTATTTCATCCCCTCCCCCCATCCACCCCATCCCCCAAACCCATCAAAAACACCCAGCCCAGCCCATGTTAAACCCAGCCCAATCAAAAAAAGAAAAAATAAAATAAAACAAGCCCGAACCGAGCCCGACCCGGCCGGTTCACCTTTCAACCTACCCAAGCCCGTCCCCGCTTTCCCTTCCGGTTCAGGTCAACACCCGGTACCGGTTCGAAAGACCGAGCCAGTCCCGGGCCCGCACAGTAGCGGGCCGGGTGGCCCGAACCAGCTCCATGACTACTTTGATGACTTGATCAGTCATATTTTGAAAAACGCACAAATGAAAACTAAATTGAATAACTTGTATCTATTTATTTTTTTAAAAAAATTGAATCTATTTTAAATTGGCAATTGCGGATGGTCCCTTTGAATGAGTAACTAAAAATGTAAACCGAACTGTCTATAATACACCAGTTTATGTCAATTGACGATTCGATTTCAGTTGATTAATTATGAATTGAGAATGTTGGAAAATTTAAGGATACAACAAGAAAATCACACGCAATTCTTTTAACATTGTACCTTATTGAAAAAATTAGCGTTGCCAAAGTTTAGGATACATCACAAACCTCAAGTCCTCAACTACTAGATGAGTTTATGGTGATTGTAATGATGCTGATCGTTAATATATTAGTCAAATGCTAAAGGAGTCTTTTTCAATTGCTATAAAATTCATGTAAACTAACGTTGTCAGTTTCTCAACCTTGTTGGTATGCATTGTCTTCCTCCCTTACCTCCAAGGCTCAATTGATTAGGAATTTAGGACTAGTCTTTTTTCATGCAACACAACTCAATCCTAATTTGATATTGCATCTCGAGAAGCGAAAAGGTATAATAATTTTCACTGATGTCACATGGCGATATCTAAAAGGGAATAAAAATGGAACCTATGTGTAAACACGAGTGAGTATACACAAGTTATGAATGCAGACGAAAATTTATAGGCTGTCAGAAGGTGACTAGTATACTACTGTCCTTTACACTACAAAATCATAGCTCCAAACCTAAGACAATAGATTTGCAAATATAATTGACAAAGTCATCAAAACCCCAAGGCAACTTTTTCTTGAGCATAACTAAGATTCATTTTGTCCGAAGAAATCCACAAACTTCAATAAGAAAGTCTCGTAGGTTTTTTCGAAACTTTTTGTAATTTAAACGGTCTAGAGTGAAAGAGATATTGTTTGAACTCGTGAGGGACTGGAATGCATTTGCCAACCTTGATTTGAATGTTGGGTTTGTCTGCCTCTCTATCAATTCATGTCCTAACCTCTGCAAGAAAAAAGTCTTCATGAGGTGTGACCACAAGGATAAAAATTGGAAGACTGGAAGTAAATATTTTTGGTGTCAATATTTTTTTGCGGCCAACAAGGTACAAAATATAAAGACCTGGTAAAGATCTTGTTCACAAAGGATTAATGGAAGAAGAGCATCTGCAGCTGAGGCAATAACATCATTGCTGTAAACACAAACACATATGGCAGAAACGTCAAAAGCAACCCAAAATTCTAAAAAGCCCATGTGCCAACACTTTGAAGTGTTCACTCTATCAAACTTGGATATAAAGTAGAGAAATGGTCCCAAATAGGACTATAACTTAGCTAATATACCTAAATAGGAGTTCAATGATTTTTATACTTAAATAGGACTAAATATTCCGTGCCTCCCTAAATTACCCCTGCATCCCAACACTTGAGAGAATGGTCTCGGAATATAGCTCGCTGCAATTCACCACCCATCTACCGATGTCCTATGGAGAAGGTGAACAGGAGAAGAATGGGAGCAATCGTAGAAGATGAAGAGCTGGAGAAGAAGCTGCACACTTTGAAAATAATTAGATCGACGATGAAGAAGAGACGATGGACAACGAGGAAGGTGCCGCCGGCGCCGGTGAAGATATTGCAGATCCGTTCTTTTTCCACTCCTCCTCTTTTTTCCCTCCTCTTGTTTTTTTCCATTGCCGCTCTTTTTTCTTTCTGCTACAGTGCTACTTCTTTCATCCGCCTCTGTTCTGTTATTTTCTTCCTTTCTTCCGCTTTGTTTTTGCTTTTGGGTGCTCGTGATTCCATTTTGTTTGGGTTTTAAATGTTTTTTTTCAACTTGCTTTTCGAAATAGTCATGCCAGTAACAACATGATTTGTTTTACTAGATTTACTTCCTGGTGAAGCTTCTCTTTACTACTCGTAATTGTTTTGTTCTATTTTACTAAATTTCCTTTTCCAAATAGTAGAATGCAAAAGCCAAAGGAGTGTTGCTAGAAACTCCAGCTAAGACTCACAATGATGCTCCCCATTGAAGAGCCCAATATTTGTTTTATATGGATTGACATTGTTATTAACACTATTATAATGTCCTTTTTATAGCATTGTCATTGACATGTTGTCATTGTCACGACAATTCACATGTTTTGACAATGAAATTGTCATAAAAAGATGTTGTGATATAATGACATTATAATACATTATTTTTCCATAAAAAATATATTTTATAGCTTTGACATTAGTTTCAACAATGTCATTTTCATAATGATTGACATTCTTATGACATTGTCATTCCCATTCTTATGGCATTGTTATTGACATTGTCATGGTGATTATTTGGCATTACTACATTTTTTCGACGTTGGGACTTTTTCTATAAAATTAACATTGTCATAATAGCTATTGACATTGTCATAATTGCAATTACAATGTTATTTTATAGCATCGACAATGGCATTGCCATTGTGACATTTTCTTGACCTGGTGACATTTTATATATCGACATTGTCAAGATAACAATGACCCTGGGGTAGACATGGTCATTATCACAATGTCACTTTTGTAATGTTGACATTGCCATTGTCATTTTTATGTTGTGACATTGTGTCATTATAAACATTCAATTAAGTACCTAAACTTAAAAAAAAATACTCAAATCAATGCAATAGAAGGTAAGCAACATGTTTCAAAGTGAGTTTGAATAGGTGGCAAGTGGATTTCATTGTCAACATGGGATCTACTCTAGTCTTTTTTTTACTTAGCAGCCCCAAAACTCCTATCTGATATTTTTCCAATATGACACTTTTATAGCCCCAAAACTCCTATCCGATATTTTCCCAATATGACACTTTATTACTCCGTATTTCATTGTCAATTGATAATAATTTCCAAATTAATGAATGGATCCAGAATATTACTTACATTAAATGAATCTGCAAATTAATGAATGGATCCAGATATTTTTATTCAACATTGTCATAATAATTATTGGCATTGTCATATCGTGATTAATTGACATTACGACATTTTTTTCAACATTGTGACTTTTTTTTATAGAATTAACATTGTCATAATAATTATTGGCGTTGTCATATTTACAATGTCATTTTATAGCATCGACAATGACATTGTCATTGTCATTGACATTTTCATAACATTATCATTGTAATTACATGACAACGTCATAACATTGTCATTGTAATTACATGACCTCTTGTTCCTCAAATTTAAATGTTACTAGCATTTCTCAAATCTTAAATTTAACCAATATCCTAAATTGAGTGGGGTCCTTGGTGGGGTCCTGTGGGGACGTGGGGTAAATTGGATCATTCTTTAGATTTTTAACCTAAATCCGAATTTGGTTGGTTCTAGTATTTGCCATTCAAGTGGTGAAAGAAGTCAAAGAACTGTGTAGAAATTATTCAATAAGCATTAAATTAAAAATGCTATAATATCTCACTCCTCAATCATACGGAGTATTAAACTATTTGCCTTATTTTTTTGGTTTCTCTTTTAGCTTTATCCAACGTGCGCACAACAGCGCTCATATCGCCCGACCTTTGTTTTTTTACTTGGCGGTTTAATTAGAATAACGTACAGGAATGTTGGATTAAATTTAACAGAGACTTGTCAATTAACAAGGTTGGCCGATGATTCGAGTACCACTGGCTGGCGTCGGGTTTAGGTTGCGGGAGGTGTAGTAGCTGGTCACTGCAGGTCCGACAACGGAGATCGCCAGAAGTTTAATAGCGGCTTGGCTGAGGTCCGATGTTTGTTGGTAGGAGTGCAGCAGTTTCTGTCTGCAAAGTGTAGCTGGTGTGGCGTGCCCGATAAATAGGAAGGGTATTTTTGTCTCTTAAAGGAAAATTAGTCCTATACGTGGATTAAAAAAGTTCAACTCCTATTTACCTTCCGCGGGCATGTTTTAGTCTTATTGACGTCTTTTTCCCTATAAAGTAATGTACTAATGTGGGTCCTATGAACTCACAAGGGACCCAAATGGATCCCATTGTTTTTTGCAATTCGTGATGTGGGTATATTAATTTCGTGAGTGTGGCCGCACAGACTCATTTGGGACCCAAATGGACCCATTCTCTGATCATATTTCACTTAAGGGTCAACTTTATGTCTTGACTCAACTATCAAAAAAGCCAGTGGTATTGTAGCTCTGTTTTTAAAATCCACATCTGATCCCCTTAGCCAACTAGGATAATTGACCCACTCAATCCTGCCTATGCTAAACTAGACCCGTCTAGGCGTCTAGGCATTACGACCTAGCCAGTAGCCTGTCACTCACCTGGCAAACTTCAGATCACAGCTTTACTAGTAGTCTAGTACTATAACTGTCCCATAACTTGTCGTTTCCATTTTTATTCACACAATAAATTCACTTTTCTTTTAAGGATAAGTCTGTGGTTTAGATTTAAAAATAAATAAATAGATCTCAACCACAGAAGTTTACATTCTTAATGAGTATGTCATTCCCCTACTATGAAGTTTATAGGACGGAGGGTAACAATTATCCGTCATATCTATGCCCAACATATTTCCATGCTGTGAAACATAAATGGTTAAAGTTCATTCAATTAAACCATAAAACACATGGGAACGTGGATGTCTTGAATACCCAAAAATAGTATTGAGCCTAAATCTCTTAAAAAGGGAAAGAAATGGCATCTCTTTTTTACGGACATGAATGATAAATGGACAATTATTGTAATTTGGAATATACCATTTCTTTCATCTCACCTGTAATCCTCGAGCAGCAGAAATTGCAAGAGTGAGCGAAGGAAATTGCTAAGAACCCCTTCTTGAAGGTTTCCAGCAGAGTCTGTGGAAGCAGTAGCACGGGAGCCTAACCCAACTTTACCAGCACCTCTCTCTTTGTAGTGGTAAGAAGCAAGTGAATTTACTGCTTGTAGACACATATCAACAACTTCAACATCCTACGGTATCATAAAGAGAAGTAAAGAATGTTAATATGTTAGGTCTCAAAAAGTATAAGCCAGACTTATTTCTGCAGTTTGGATATCTTTTTTAGACAGACCAGGGCCATTTTCTATCATCAAGAATCTTTAGAAGTTTAAATGTTGTAAGTTAAAAGCCACATCATAATGAATGCAAGTGAACAACTTAATATTAGACTATTTTAAAACACGCTAGGCACTAGTGCCTGGTGGGGGCGGATTAATCAGGGTTAAGAAGTGGAATTTGGTGTGGTTAAGTGTCAAAAGAAACATAGGCTGCCTAGAACTTGGCGCTTTTTATCATTTTATGGGGACAAGTTACCTGATGGTGTAAACCAAAATCCAAGGTTCCAATAATATGAACAAAAGCTTCATTATTCAATTGTGCAGCCATTTCAGGATATACTTCCAGCATATGTGATAGCAATGAGAAATACTGTGTGGAAAAAAGACCAGAACCTTAGTTTCTCAACAGCTTGTTAGAATATTCACAAGGACAGATGGGAAACTTACGTCATGACAAAGTTTGGGGTATTTTAGTAGATCCAAACTTATTAGAGGGGTGACTATATGAAGACCCGTATATACCACCTGGTAGTAAAAAAATCCATTACAGAAAGTTACAACTAAAAATGGACAAATGCCACATAAATGTTGCATTTTAATTTTCAGCAATAAAAAAAGCATTTTGAGCAAACCTGTGAAATATTTGTACCGTGAGTTTCAATGGGCTCTGATGAGAAGTCAACCTGAACATTTATTTCTGATGTTATCCCAAAGAGTTTAATCAAACAAACAAAAAAGCGTTCCTGGTCGGAGATAAATAGGGGTTGGAAATAACCTAGGAGCCGAAGTTGAGCCCAGTGCTAAGGTATAGATTTTTACAGCAATGCTAAAAACTAAATATAAAAATAATGATAATAAAAGGAAAGGGAAGTGCGTCTATTAATTAAAATTTGAAGGGGAGAGTCAACCAACCAGATCTTTTGAACAGAGGCTTGAAAGTAGCTGGAGCAAAGCTCGTATATCCTTGTACTTCTCCGTATCTTCCTCAGTGCGTAGGCTTTTCGAAAGGCTCAGTGAAATCTGCAGGCATAAATGTCAATTGCGAAAACACTAACGGGGAAGAACATTGATCGATAAATGTATTTAGCCCTGCCAGGAGATTCAGGAATAAAATGAACAAGAATTTATCAAAAGTTAAGACAATGTTTGATGCATAGGGTTGGAAAACTTCAATTCTTCAAATGATAGGTAAGCATAGAATCTTGTATAGGAATATTCTATTTGTAATGTATATTTATAGGGACTTAACCCTTCAATGAAATACACAGAAAATCCTTCTCTCCATATCATTTTAGTTTATATTTCAACATGGTATCAGAGACTTCCATTTTAGTTTAGTTTTTCAGATTTCAATTTAAGTTTCAGACTGGATTCTTTCTTCAAGAACCTGAGTTCAGTCTTCAGATAATTCAGAACCTTCAGACACCAGTCTGTCTCCAAATTCTTTCTTCAGGAATTTCAGATTTTTTATTTCTTCCCAGATTCTTCAGAACCTCTAGGCACCAGTCTAATTTTCCAGAAAATAAATTAGCCTGAGCTAATTTCCCAGAAAATTTCTTCGCATACAGTCTGCCCACCAGAAAGTTTCGGATCACACATTTCATCATCACCGTACCCAGGTGGTGCGGGTGCCTCCGACGACCCAGAAACCAAAGTCCGACACCCATACTATACGCGAGTAATCCGCACGCGCCGCCACAGCTCGGTGATCTCAACTCATGCGCCGGCGCGTGTCGTGTAATCGCCGGCCAGATTTTCGATCGGATCCATCACCACGCTCGCCGTCGTATCCTCTACCGCACGTGCTTCCTCTTTCCAGGTATCCTTAATTTTAATTTTGGAGGTCTCACTCGTACTTGGACAAAATCCCGTGGGTGCTTCATAGCAAGGGTGAAACCTGCTAATCTGGTGTGGCTGCTTGAACGTGGACCCTGTGAGGCTCCTTGCCTCCTTGTACGTTCTTTCCCAGGCTGTCTATTTCAGTTGGGGTGTGATTGTTCAGCAACCAACGTACGCCTACGATTGGTTCTTGTACTTATGTAAGTTTAGGCCTACAAATATTATTTCAGTCACCCTAATTTACTTGATACCTTAATTCTGCACGACACACACACAAAAAAAAAAAAAAAAGAAAAAAAAAAGAAAAAGAAAAAAAAAAGCAAAAAAAAAAAAAATGTTTCGTACAGGTCAATTTGACAGAGGAGTAATATGCAATTACTGCAAGAAGCCCGGACACTTGATCAAAGAATGCAGAAAATTGCTATTCAAAAATCAAGGAAATCAACTTGCTCATGTCGCTTCCGCTACCAGTTCCTCTGATGGATCAATTGCTATTTCTGTAGACGAGTATGCCAAATTTATTTGCTACCAAGAATCTCTAAAGCATTCCTCTGTCCCTATCTCGGTAGTTGCTAATTCAGGTATTTCAAACACATGTCTTGTTTCATCATCCTCGAAATGGGTCATTGACTCAGGTGCCACAGATCATATGACCGGTAATCCTAGTCTATTCTCATCATTTCATTCATATTTACCTACTTCTAGTGTCACTTTAGCTGACGGGTCTACCTCACCCGTCCTTGGATCCGGTACTGTTGTCCCAACTTCTACATTACCATTATCACCTGTTTTGAGTCTTCCAAATTTTGCGTTTAATCTGCTTTCCATCAGTAAAATCACGCGCACTCTAAATTGTTCTGTAACATTTTTTCCTGGATACTGTGTGTTTCAGGATCTGTTAACGAAGCAGACTATTGGTAAAGGACATGAGTCGGCTGGCCTTTATATTTTGGATACATCAATAACAAAAGGTATCTCTTGTCTCGGGGTTGGAACTTTGTTAGAGGCTCATTACCGACTAGGACACCCATCTCTCACACTTATGAAACAAATATATCCTCAGTTTAATAAGGTGTCATCTATACAATGTGAGTCATGTGAATTTGCAAAACATCATCGCACTAGTTTAAGTCCCCGACTTAATAAACGAGCAAATGCTCCATTTGATCTTGTCCATACTGATGTTTGGGGGGCATGTCCGGTTGTGTCCAAATCTGGTTTCAAATACTTTGTTACTTTTGTTGACGATTATTCTCGTATGACATGGTTATATCTTATGAAGCGTCGATCCGAGTTATTTACTCATTTCTCTGCATTTTGTGCTGAAATTAAAACTCAATTTAATGTTCCTGTTCGTGTGTTAAGGGGAGACAATGCTCAAGAATATCTATCTGCTCCATTTAAATCTTTTATGCTTCAACATGGCATTATTCATCAAACTTCATGCGTAGACACACCTCCTCAAAATGGAGTTGCTGAAAGAAAGAATAGACATCTGTTAGAAACTGCACGAGCTCTTCTATTCCAAATGAATGTGCCTAAACAGTTTTGGGCTGATGCTGTGTCTACTTCATGTTTTTTGATTAATCGTATGCCATCTTCTGTTTTGGAGGGTAAAACTCCTTATCAATGCCTTTTTCCAAATAAAGAACTTTTTCCCATTCCACCTAAAATATTTGGTTGCACTTGTTTTGTTAGAGATGTTAACCCTCATCGCACGAAGTTGGATCCCAAATCATTGAAATGTATTTTCTTAGGTTATTCTCGAGTTCAAAAGGGGTATAGATGTTTTTGTCCAAGTACAGGTCGATATCTTATTTCTATTGATGTCTCATTTCATGAAAATACACCTTTTTCATCATCCAAGACAGATATTCATGAGGACAACGATGAAATACTCATTTACACAGTTACTATACCTGAGACCACACCTTCAGTAACTATGCCGAATGCCACTGTTCCTGACCCTAGACCTCCGGTACACTTGGTTTACACCCGTCGACACAAAGCACAAGATCACTCCCCACCTGTGACACCTGTGATTACATATCCTGATAGTGGCCCGACTTCGATCTCATGTCCTGAACGAGTACCTGCATCTTCAGATCTTGTCTCTACATCTGATCTTGACCTCCCGATAGCACTACGTAAAGGTACACGGTCTTGTACGCATCCTATTTCCTCATTTGTGTCATACAGTCAGTTATCTCCTGCCTCATGTTCTTTTGTTGCTTCCATTGATTCTATTTCTGTTCCCAAATCTGTTAAAGAAGCTTTGTCTCATCCTGAATGGCGTCATGCCATGGTAGAGGAAATGAATGCTTTGGATCTTAATGGTACTTGGGATTTGGTAGACTTGCCTTCAGGGAAGAAATCTATTGGATGTAAGTGGGTCTTTGCTGTTAAGGTTAATCCAGATGGATCTGTTGCTCGATTGAAAGCTCGATTGGTTGCAAAGGGTTATGCTCAAACCTATGGTGTTGATTATTCTGACACTTTTTCTCCTGTTGCTAAATTAACATCTGTCAGGTTACTTATCTCACTCGCTGCAACTCATGATTGGCACTTACACCAGTTGGACATTAAAAATGCATTCTTGCATGGTGACCTTCAGGAGGAAGTTTATATTGAGCAACCTCCGGGATTTGTTGCTCAGGGGGAGTATGGGAAAGTTTGTCGACTTCGCAAATCTCTTTATGGTCTGAAACAGAGTCCTCGTGCATGGTTTGGGAAATTCAGTCAATCCATTGAACAATTTGGAATGATAAAAGGTCAATCAGATCACTCTGTCTTTTACAGAAAAACGAAAGCGGGTATCACATTGCTTGTGGTGTATGTCGATGATATTGTGATTACAGGAAGTGATACTGCAGGTATTTTGGCTCTTAAGAATTTTCTTCATAGCCAATTCCAAACAAAAGACCTAGGCTCATTGAAATACTTTCTGGGTATTGAGGTAACACGAAGTAAGAAAGGCATATTTCTATCTCAACGTAAATATGTACTTGATTTACTAACTGAAACAGGGAAATTGGGAGCAAAGCCAAACACAACTCCCATGGTTCCCAATGTGCAACTCACTTCAGAAGGCATACCATTCGAAGACCCAGAAAGGTACAGAAGATTGGTTGGAAAGCTTAACTATCTCGCAGTCACTCGTCCAGACATTGCTTACTCTGTGAGCGTAGTAAGTCAATATATGTCATCTCCGACCATTGACCATTGGGCTGCTGTAGAACATATATTATGTTACTTGAAGGGAACACCAGGACGCGGGATTGTCTATCAAAACCACGACCACATGAGAATAGAATGTTTTGCTGATGCTGACTGGGCAGGATCTAAAGATGATCGAAGATCTACCTCGGGGTATTGTGTCTTTGTTGGAGGAAACCTAGTATCCTGGAAGAGTAAGAAACAGAGTGTGGTTTCTCGTTCGAGTGCCGAATCAGAATACCGAGCTATGGCACAATCTGCATGTGAGATCATATGGATAGGCCATTTATTGGGTGAAATCGGATTGAAGACACCAATGCCTGCTAAATTGTGGTGTGATAATCAAGCTGCCATACACATTGCCAACAACCCAGTATTTCATGAGAGAACAAAGCATATTGAGGTTGATTGTCATTTTATTCGAGAGAAGATACAAAAAGGATTGATCTCTACGGGATATGTGAAGACTGGAGAACAACTTGGAGATTTGTTCACTAAAGCACTAAATGGGATCCGAGTTGGTTATTTATGTAACAAGTTGGGCATGATAAATATCTATGCTCCAACTTGAGGAGGAGTGTGAAAGATATAGAATATACTTTAGAATATTATAATATGCTTCAGAATATTCTAGGAATATACTTTAGAATATTATTATTGTATAGAATCTTGTATAGGAATATTCTATTTGTAATGTATATTTATAGGGACTTAACCCTTCAATGAAATACACAGAAAATCCTTCTCTCCATATCATTTTAGTTTATATTTCAACACTTCAAATGATAGGTAAGCATAGAATCTTGAAATTGTTTTCCAATTTTCCCCTATAAGTCTATAACTGATTTCATGGATCTTCTGTATTGTCTAAATTCTGCTTAATAGCAGCACTGATTAGGTGGTTTGAATAAACATTCTTATAAAGAAAAAAATGTCATGTTATTATAAGGTCAGCAGAGACTAAAACTCTGATTTATTTATAGATAAATCACTTACTTCAGGACGAGGAATAGGTTAGTGCAATAAAAAAATACCTTTCCAATATTGTGAGATGAGTACAGCTGAATTAAACTCATGCAGAAGCCAACAGCCACTGCAGTTTCATGAGCTTCTAAGTAACTGATTTGTCCATCAATCCAATCAACAACAAACTTAAGTAACATATATACAACTGCAGACTAAAAAAGGCAACATCTGAGCATATATTTAACTCATCAAATTACAACATAAAAAAAATACAAAATGGAAATAAATTTAGTGAAGGATGTAATGGGCTAAAGACTTAGTTTTGAATTACACAACCAAATTCAAGAGGATATGGAAAAAACATTGACAAGGAAACATAAGTGGGTGATGGTAGAGGACTGAAAAGACTAATAGGTCAGGAGATAAATGTGCAAAAAGTGACAGCCATGTCAGGCAATGTTGAAAGATGTGACCAAGAGCAGCAGCAGACTCCAATGATAGCAATGAGTTTTTTCCCGAAATTCATACATTTCATTTCATTTTCATTTACCCCAGTGCCGCAAAGGCTCCCACCTACGGTGGGGTAAGGGGGGTCGGATGTACGCAGTCTTACCCCTGTACTAAAGCACAGACAGACTGTTTCCGGATGACCCATACAACCATATCAGATGAAATCATTAAAAAACTTTGGTGTACCAAGACTGGGTGACTATAGAAAACCAATACCTCATGTTTGTAAACTTCCAGAAGTTTCAGTAAAGGATTCATTACTGAAAATCCTATCTCATAAATTGCCTTTTGCGTTCGAGGTTCTGAGGCTTTGGCAACTCCACGAAGCCGCTCCAGCAAGCAACTAACCTATTTACTTGTAATAAAACCAATAAGAACGTTTCTTGAAAAATAATATCACAAGTTGAAAAACAGGGTGTCATCACCAACCAGTAAGATGATGTCTGGCTGTTGAGCAACACTTTTTAAATCATTCCTGCCTGAAAGTTCTATAAGGTAAGTTGTCATGTGGCTCGTTAGGTACTTCACATATCTACAGACATTAACAATGCAGCTTAGAATGTCTAGAAATGTGACAACATCCAAAATAAAATCAAGGAACGAACGATGTCTAGATTATGTACTCACTGATATGACATCTCTGAATCACTCATACCAGTAGTTGAACGAACAAGTGTTTGAGCTAGAGAACGCTGTAAGTAAAATAAAAGGGAATTTAAGCTTCCTTGAAAAGAAAACATAGTTTAGTTAAGGCTAATGTTGGAGATATACAACTCGGTACACATATGAGATAAAAATGCATAGACAGCCAATGGAAAGAGAGAGATGAGACTCTCTTCAGCCCTTCAATACTGTAGACAAAAGCAAAGTAAATAATGATGTTCATAATGCATATCTTTCTTAATCAACGCTCCCCAAACCAGCTAAAAAAAATGAAATGACGTTAGATACCTGATAAGAACCATATAGTGAGAGAAGAGTTTTTTCATTCGTAAATGCATGTACCAACTCACGCCAAGAATCCTGCAAAAAAACAATGTGAATGGTGTCACTTAAAATTTTCTATTGTCACATGGGGGTGTTTGGAATTGATTCTGCTTCTTTTTTAAAAGCGAAAGTAGAATCAGAAAAAGATGGTCTCCCCCAGCTTCTCAAAAAGTGCTTCTAGAAGCAATTTGGACCACTAAGAAGTACTTCTGCACTTCCCCAAACACTCCAATATCTGCTCATGCTCCCCAAAGGAGCAAAAGCAGTTTTAAGAAGAAGATCAAACACCCCACAGTTTTTTTTAAATATACTAAAATACACTGAAGCATAAAAAATGATATAAGCATTATTTCTACTCATTTCTGTAAAGTGTAAACTATACGACTACTATTTCCATAGTCAATGTATTCAAAGAAACAAAATATCAAACAAATTTTAAATTAAAAAAAAAAACACGTCGAAGATTACATGGACAGACACTGAAAATAAATAATTTCATCAGAGGACCACAGTGCACAAACTATGTTCTGTCAAAATCTTAAATAAATATTAAAAAATTGTACAAGACAAGAAACACCCCCACAGTTAGTACTTGATTATTTTGTTCAAATGTAACCTATTGAATTCAGGGAAGGAGGTGCATTGGATGGGGTTCACTTAAAAGTAAAATTGCCACTTGACTGAGCTTACAATGTGCGCAGATGCACAAGGGAAAAAGGGGATTAAGTGCATCAATCACGGTTCTCTATGAACAACTTAATGAGAGAGAGAAAGAGAGAAAACTAACCAAGGTTATAAGGTGTGAACAAAAACTCTTACACCGAACCAGTCCATGGAGCAATTCAAAGCAAGTAAGTTCCTGCCACAAAAGAATAAAACAAGGAAACTCACTTATTCATTGAAAGTATAGCAATACTAGGAGATCATATATCATATGATGATGTTGGCAAGCAAAGGTAGAAAAAAAAGTTTTTTAGTAATCAGGTAAACATGGAACTGTAACCAAGATGACTGAAACATACCTAATCATTTATTCATTGAATAAAAGCCAATGTGGGCACAACGACCCTACAGAATTTTACAAGTTCTGAAAGCTGATGGGACACATTCTCTTAGTTAGCTTGGGCTACATATAGAAGGTCAGAGCTGTGACTTTTTTACAACGGGAAATTTACCCTCAAAAGTTCTAAAAGTTCTATGAGCATTGAGCCCTATCTATGTTTTAGTGCCTTATGTCAAACTGCCACTGATACAGATCATGGACCTCCGAAACACTGGATAGTTTACTCACATAAAGAAAGGAAATAGGTCCGGAACTCCGGCGTAAGAATATAGTTACATCACATAACTAGTAGTATTGGTACTCGGCCTACCAAAAACTCATTTGCAATGTATAATTGCCCATCATATCATCATTTTATCCATCACAATTTGTGTCCACCTCTTCTATATCTTCAGTTTCTGTTCCTAGATCTGCTAAGGAAGCTTTAGCGTATCCTGATTGAAAACAGTAAACCAGGCCATACCGATGAACCATTCTTACTTCCCTGGTACTTGTTCCTTGACCTCCTAGTTAAATTGTTATGAGTGTAATGGATGTAGGTTGTGAAGGTTAACCCCCGTGAAGAGGAGGAAAAGCTCAAAGATTGGTTTGTTTCCAAAGGGTATACAGTGTAGACAGGTTTTCAGCATTGATGACACAAATACTTTTTTGCGTATGACAAAAATCATGTTTATAGGTCATTATCTATGGATAAAAATGCATAGTTAAAGGGAGAACTTAAAGAGAAGGTAGTTTAGTGAATATACAACAGTTTTACAAGGGTGTTTAAATATATCAGCACCTAAGAGCACATTAGAAAACATCTGACAGCTCTATACATACTTTGTATACATTTTTCTACTTTGGTCATCTCCTAAAAGGTTCCTATATAGTGCACCCTTTGTTGTAATGTCTAGACTAGTGCCAAGAACTCACGGTGTATTATCAATGCAAAGTAAAGAGTAGTTCCATATCTGGTACCTGTAAATCTTTTTCACCAGGATAAGAGATAAGTGAGGTGATCGAGATGCGAACAATGATATCGAGCACAAGCTTGCGCTGATTGTGATCGCCACAAAAATCAAGCAATGCTTTCCTAGAGGACGTAGACGGCACTTCCTTATAAGGGCCTTCAGTAAAATATTTTGAAGTTTTACTTTCTTTGTATTCCTCATGTGGCATCAAATAAGTTAAAGACCATCTTCTGAGGAACCATATTACTGCCTGCACTATACAGTACACAGTTCACATAAGTTACTCTGACTCAATAAACAGAACAAACAAGCCTTTATAAATTAAAAAAAGGCTAATAAAAGTATAACACCATGAATATAAAAAAGAAAAATGTATCCTCATACAATGATTTAAAAGATAATGTCCAAAATACTAGTTTACAATGCAAAGAGATCGACCCTTCAACAATAGATTGGCATGTGATGCAAAAGACATGCACGTAATGCGTTTACAGCCAGCACATTCAATATTGTCTTAGTCGTTGGGATTAGAACCATATACTACACACGTTATGTATTGTTTCACTTAGCCCCCTGCGCAGATGTCTAGCGTTAATGTATAAAAGCAGTAACTATAGAACAATAGTGAGCCTAGTTTAGGAAGTGCTAAGTTTCTGATTCTCAAAAGGTTTAAGGTTTGAGGTCATTAGGTTTTCTATTGGGTTTAGGCCCATTATTTCTCTATATAAGCATTCTGATAGTCTAGACATTATGAAGTTGTAAGTTAAAAGTTTATCAATAAAAGCAGCACTCTCCTTGTCCCAATATAAAGTTCACTATTTCAATTTTGGCTGTCTCACAATGAACTTCACTTTGCTTTCATGGAAAGAATTGTGTGGTTGATATTTTTCTATCCATTTAAATAAACCACACAATGACACAATTTCACATTCCTAATAAGCGTTTCACTCCCCACAATGATTGTAGCATTGGGATAGAAGGAGCAGTTTATTACTTGACATGTTATTCCCCTAAAAGTCATAAAAAGTGGTAAACCCCAACCCTATTCTTTTTTGTTGTGAACTGTTTGCCAATTTCAGTTTGAAGCATCTCCAGTCCCTTTTTGACAAAAGAGACCACATCATTATCCTCAGAATCATCGTGCAACCCTGCCCCTAGAAATCTTTGTAGCCCAGTTAATGTTATTCTAATTGCGGATCTCCCCATACCTCGCAATAACCAAAAACTATATACCAAACCAAATCTATCTAAATAGATAACCCCATTGGACCTGAACAACAACCGAACAAAGTCGAAAAAGAGTTACATTAAGACATTAAGTCATAACATAACTGTGAACAAGTATTGTTTTATTTCATATACTTGCTGATTAAAAATAATATACAAGAAGCTATATTTATAACTATATTTAGAGTACTAGGGTTTCCTATACAAATGGGCTAAGCCCAATACTACTAGGGTTTCCACACTCCCCCTCAAGCTGGAGCATATAAATCATATGTACCAAGCTTGTTACAAATATATTCCACTCTAGGACCTCTAAGAGACTTAGTTAAAATATCTGCAAGTTGTTCAGTTGTGTTCACATATTTTGTGATGATATGTCCACTCGTGATCTTCTCTCGGATAAAATGACAATCAACTTCAATATGTTTTGTCCTCTCATGATATACCGGATTTGATGCGATGTGCATTGCAGCTTGATTATCACACATGAGTTGAACCGGTTTTGTGTTCCCATATTTTAACTCTTGGAGAAGATACTTCAACCATAAGATTTCACATGTAGCAAGGGCCATTGCACGATATTCTGCTTCAGCAGTAGATCTAGCAACCACATCATGTTTCTTACTTTTCCATGAAATTAAGTTTCCACCAATCAAGATGCAATATCCCAAAGTGGAACTTTTATCCATCGGACATCCGGCCCAGTCTGCATCACAATATCCCACAATATCATGGTGGCCTCGATCTTCAAACAACAATCCTTGCCCTGGAGTTTTCTTGATGTATCTCAAAACTCGGATAGCTGCATCCCAGTGTCCAGTACATGGCTTATCAAGAAACTGACTAAGAACACTTACCGCAAATGAAATATATGGTTATGTGATGGTAAGATAATTCAATTCGCCGATGAGTCTTCTATATTTTTCCTTGTTGGGCAAAAGATCTCCCTGTTCTGATAAGAGTTTAACGTTCAGATCCATTGGTGTATCCACTGGCCTGCAATCTAACAAACCTGTTTCCTCAAGAATATCCAAGGCATACTTTCTTTGTGAGAGAGCAATTCCATCTTGAGACTGTGCGGCCTCAATTCCAAGGAAGTATCTCAACTTTCCCAAGTCTTTTGTTTGAAATTTGCTAAAGAGATGTTGCTTGAGGAGCGCAATTCCTTGATCATCGCTACCTGTAATGACAATGTCATCAACATACACAACAAGATAAATACATTTGTTGCCAGCAGAATGTCTGTAGAATATAGAATGATCGACATCACTGCGAGTCATGCCAAAGCTGCAGACAACGTCACTAAACCTCCCAAACCATGCACGTGGAGATTGCTTCAAGCCATATAATGAACGACGTAATCTGCACACCATACCAGACTCCCCCTAAGCAACAAATCCAGGTGGTTGCTCCATATAAACTTCCTTGTGTAGATCTCCGTGAAGGAATGCATTTTTAATATCCAATTGGAACAATGGCCAGCGGCTCATTGCTGCCATGGATAAAACCAAACGAACTGATGCAATCATCGCTATAGGAGAAAAAGTGTCAGTGTAATCCAAACCATATATTTGAGTATACCCTTTTGCCACCATGCGTGCTTTAAAACGATCAATCTCCCCATCAAGCCCAACTTTAACTTTAACTGTGTAAATCCACCAACATCCCACGACTAATTTACCAGTGGGAAGGGAGACTAAGTCCCACGTCCCACTAGAATGAAGAGCCTCCATCTCAGTCAACATGGCTTTACGCCACTCTGGGCGTGCCAGTGCCTCATGTGTAGTTTTAGGAATGCATATATGAGACAGGTGGGAAATGAAAGCATAGTAAGGGGTAGAGAGACGGTGATAATTCAAAAAGTTATATATGGGATGTGGATTTAATGTGGAACGCGTACCTCTTCGAAGGGCAATGGGCAAATCATCCTGAGTGGTTTCAAGTGCTGGAGTAGGTGATGCAGGATCCGTCATAGGGGAATCAACGGGCGTGGCCACGATGGGCTCAATGGGAGGAGGTCGAGGACGTCGATGGTATACCTGTAGTGGACGGTCTGACATAGGAGGGAAGTTTGGGTGCTCATCAGATGGGGAGTATCTTGATGGATGGGCCGGAGATATGAGGTGAAGTCCAAACATGATGGGGTATCAACTGAAGATGATGGATAGTAAAAGGACGACTCAATGAAAGTGACATCGGCCGAAATAAAATGTTTCTTAAGTAATGGAGAATAACAACGATAACCCTTTTGGAGTCGCGAATATCCAAGAAAGATACATTTTATTGACCTAGCCGACTTTTAGCTAATCCAGGTGTCGTAACATGGACATAACACACACACCCAAACACATGAGGTGGTAATGGAAATAAATCACGAGCAACAAACAAAATAGAACAGGGAATTTCATTATTAAGAACTGAGAAAGGCATTTTATTTATTAAATGACACGCAGTGAGCACAGCATCTGCCCAATACTGAGGCGGTGTATGGGAATGTAATAATAGGGTACAAGCAGTATCAACCAAGTGTCGGTTCTTGCGTTCAGCAACCCCATTTTGTCGAGGCGTGTGAACACAAGATGATTGGTGAAGCATACCCCGTGATGTCATGAATTGATTAAAGGATGCCCCCAAAAAATTCTTTAGCATTGTCACTGCGTAAAATTTTGATAGAATGACCAAACTGAGTTTGAATTTCAGCACAAAAAGTTTGAAAATTATGAAACAATTCAAAACGCTCTTTCATTAAGAACAACCATGTGTAACGGGAAAAATCATCCACAAAAATAACAAAATAACGGAAACCTAAAGTAGAAGTGACTCGATATGGACCCCATACATCCGTATGAACTAAATCAAACGGTGATGTAGCCGGTTTATTGACTCGCCTTGGAAAGGATTTACGAGGTTGTTTTCCAAGGTGACATGACTCACAATCTAAAGATGAAAGATTTGAGAAACCTAGACCATATGTTGAAACTTTGAGAGACTAGGATGATCCAGACGGTTGTGTAAGGTAATAGCAGGTTCAACTGAAACACAAGCGATTGGATCAAGAGGATGGAGGTGATACAGACCTTGAGATTCATGTCCGACGCCAATCGTTTTCCCCGTACAACGGTCCTGCACAATCACAGAATCAGTAGAAAATGTTACGAAACAACTAAGAGCACATGTAATTTTACTGACAGAGACAAGGTTAAAAGGGGTGTTAGGGACATATAAGACTGGGTCTAAAGGTAAGGATGAAAATGGAAGTGCTTGCCCAATACCCGAAGCCGAAGTTTGAAGGCCATTAGCAAGAGTAATCAAAGGAAGATGTCGCTGCTTGGTAATTACCAGAAATATGATCTGAGGCACCTGAGTCAATGATCCATGAGTCTGTTGTGTTTGAAACACAAGCGGTAGACACATCGGGTGTGGATAAAGACATATTAGTCACCTTAAATTGCTGATAGTTGCATATTCTTCCGGTGATAGAACAATGGGAGATGGTGGGAGCTGAGCAACATGGGCTGAGGGAGGTCTCCCATGTAATTTCCAACACCTGTCTTTAGTATGACCAATTTTATGGCAAAAATCACATTTAGGACGATTCCATCTTGAGTATCCGGTGTTGTTTCCTCTGTCAGAACTCATAAAGGACCTTTTTTTGTACTGTTTTTTTCTTTTATCTTTTTTTTTTTTTTTTTTTTTTTTTGCTTTTTCTAAAGAAGAATGAAAAGCTAAAATTAGCAAACAAATGAGAAATTAAAAAAATAAAACCTGCAGAGGGGATCAACGCTTCACTAGAACTCACGGCAGCAATTTGCCAATAATAGAAAAACAAAAGTAATCCAGCTGGAGTGGGTTGACCAAGACCTTCGCAGGACTGCTAGACTGTGTTGACCAAGAGAGCAGACCAGAGAGCAAACCAGAGAGCAATGAAGCAGCTGAAGAAACTACCTGGTATTCCGTTAAATAGGTAGAGCACTGGCCAGAGCAGCGGCGAGCAGCCAGAGAGACGGCGACGACCGATACGAG